GTGAAAACAAAATGTCATCACTGTTAGATTAAAACCAGTACAAAAATCAACACCTGGATATTATTATGCAGAGGTACAACGTTTTCACTGTTGTGGGTTACTTGTCTAAGTTAATGTGAGGGAAGGTGAAGCATGTGAAGTGATGATACAGAATTGTTCCTAAAAGCTTAGTAATGATCCAGGTTTGTGAGCCAGCATATTACACATGCGCACAGAGACAACAAATATGGGCAAGTACAAAAAAAGTTTTAAATATTTTGAATTTGGCTGATATGTTAGATTTTATAGTAAAGATGCTGTTTACATAAAAGCTTGAGGAGGGATAGACTCAATAAAGCTTTAATGTTAATACCTAGATTTTAAGGTTTACAGCTAAGAAACTGCACTTTTTTCCCCTTATGAAAATATATTAAATCTCTGTGTGTGCATTAAAAGCCTATATTTAAATTATAAATTTATATAAATTATATTTAAATGATATTAAAAGCCTATATATTTCAGGAAAATTCATTCCAATCATTGAAACTGTTGAGATTTATATATTGTTAGAAGTAATGTAGTATTTTTGTTACATCAAAATTACTAATAACTATTTTGAAATAGGCTTACTAGAAAATTTCTAGGAATTTTATATAAAGATTATTTATTAATCAGTATTTCTGAAGTATTTACATATGAAACACCTGCATGGAACAGGAATACTGTAGCATTTAAGGAAAATTTAGCAAAATTTTGTGGTGAAATCCCTTAAGAAAACCTGGTATGATATGTTAAGTAACTTTGAAAGTGACTAGATAAATTCTATTCTAAATTGATTTTGTTGGATGTAAAATGGTAACGACTAATTATATTTCCTGAGAACATGAATCAGCTTAGAATTGCCATCGCTCCATGGTTTTATATGCAGTTAAATTAGGGCACAGATAGTTTCAGCTGTGACTATCAACACATAATGCTGCTCTCACTCTTTCTATATAGTTACGTATCTAATTTTTCAGTCATGTTAAAGAGAGCTCTTGTGAGTTCTTGTGTCTGTATTGTCTCAGCTGTGTACCTGAGTTCAATGCTATGTTGTTTTGACTCATATCATCAACAGTAAAGCAGCCTCTGCCAGTGGAATTTAGTCAATAACCATTGATGACAGAAGGTCCAGAACAGAACCTGTCTTACTTTCCTGAGTATTAACTCCTGCAACACTGTCAATTAAGCCAGTTCTGCACTTGGAACTGAACCAATGCATTTGTTAATGATTCATACACAGAATCCAGCTAATTTTCAGCTATAATAGCCCTGGCTGCATAGAAAAAAAAGAAAGATTTTTTTTTTTTGTCCCTCTAGTCTAATAAATTTGGGTTTCAGTATGCACAATAAATTGATATGATAAGAAAAAATATTTTTAAATAGTTTAATAAAAAGTCTAATAATAATACATAAATAAATAATAAATAGTTTAATAAAAATAAGTTTTTTAATAGTTTTTTAAACTTGCATCAATTAGTTTAATGACACATCTGACCTATGTGTTTCTTGTTAGTAATATGGAGTGAAAGGTGAAGTACAGAAGAAAACTGATTACCAGAATACCGATTTCTCGGTCTTTGACCCAGTTTATTAACTGTTTATCAAAACGTTATTTTGGCATTAGCTGTAAATGTTATTTTCTTTCCATGATGTAAAAATATGTGCATTAAAAAAACTTGTAGAGGGGCGTGCATATTTACATATATTTTTGTAAACGTGTATAGGATGCTAAAAATAGCCCAAGGGAGGCCATGTAGAGAAACAGGGTAAAAACATCAGTGTGGTAGAAAAAAGCAATTTATCACACAGAGCTAGGGGTCAGCTTGAAGCCACAAGATGCCAAGATGCCGGTCAGATTTGCATTTGTGCTGCTTGTGTATTCATGGCACTTACACATTCAACACGCCTTTAAAGAGACTTTTATTTCAGTTGTGTAAAGCCTTGTGAAAATGCTTGTGGATCAAGGTGTTCCTTTTTCATAATCTGTCCCTTTCGCATGCTTTTCTGTGGGTATGGGAAGGTAGAGGGGCAAACACGGGTGGATGGGTAGGTAGGTGCTCGTCCCGGAGAGAGGAATCGTCCCTTCTCTGGAAGGAGGCAGGTCCTATGCACCGTGTTCTGGAAAAGGGAGGCCTCGTGTGGTCAGGGCTGGGAACAGCCCAGTCGGGCTGGAGGGATCCCAGCCGCAGGCACTCCCTTCTCAGCTGAACCAGGACTATAAACGTGGCCACCGGGGTGTATTTATCACGGGATCATGGAATGGCATAGGGTGGAAGGGACATTAAAGATCATCCCCTTCCAACACCCCTGCCATGGGCAGGGACACCTTCCACTAGACCAGGCTGCTCAGAGCCACTTCCAGCCTGGCCTTAAACGTTTCTCAGGATGGGGAGTCCACAGCTTCTCTGGGCAAACCTCTTCCAGTGCCTCACCACCCTCACAGTAAAGAATCTCTTCCTCATATCTAATCTAAACCATCTGTCTTTCAGTCTGAAGCCATTCCCTCTTGTCCTGTCACTACATGCTCTTGTAGAAAGACTCTCTTAGTCTTTCCTGTAGGCTCCCTTCAGGTACTGAAGGCCACAATATGCTAACCTGTAAACCTTCTTTTCTCCAGGGTGAACAATGCCAATCCTCCTAGCCTTTCCTCACAGGAGAAGTGTTCCATCCCCCTAATCATCTGGTCCTCTGGACCTGCTCCAGCAAGTCAGTGTCCGTCCTGTATTTCATAACAATATGGATGACTAGGTTGGGGAGAAGAAACACCTCTACATGATTGCCCTTGGTCTGTCTGAACAAGTCTGAAGAAGGAAATACTCTTCTCACCGGTCCTTCTTTCTTTATTGTGTTATGAGATAGGTACATTTCCTTGCCTTTCCGGGTATCTAAACCAGGCAACAAAATGTAATTCAAACACAGAAGTCCATGTGTGATATTAAATTGATTAGCTGTACCAAGAGAAGCAGAGTAGTGGTCTATGTGGTAATTGACAAAATGACAACATTTTGATTTAAAGGCAAAATTAAGGGAAAAATGCAAAACAGAAATCTGAAAGAGTGCCTAGTTCATGTAAATTTAAAAATACAGTTGAGTTACTATAAGATCCAGCTGTGAGGAACAGCTGTACAACAGCCTATGCAGGGAATTGCAAGAATATCCATGTATTGGTAAATCACAGGTTGAAGCCCTTGTGCATGAGAGGATATTCCAGCACTCCTACCTTAGACATGTTTCTTAAAGAGAAGTAAATCCAGCCATAATGCCATCAACTGCATTCTTCTTGTCAGTTCTAAGCACATTCTCCAGCTTTTTGAAGAATAACAATTAAATTAAGTTCTCCCAAATGCGGGATTTTCCATCAGTAACACTGATTGCTATCAGCTGGGATTTGTGAGAAGCCTCTCATCATGCATGACCTTCTGAAGAGATTCTTTTGGTTTGTTACTCTAGCAGGGGGTGGTCTCTGAGGAAGGCGTGGGGCTGCTCTTGTGCCCACTCCCATGACCAATACAGGGCTGGAGGCTGGCTTTTTGTTTCTTTCCTTTTTATTTATAAGATTTGTCCATTACCTTATCTCAGTGACTTAAATCCATTCCCTTGCTTAATATTAGTCAAAATTTCCCTTAAATGTTCTTGTTATTGGGATACAGCTCTCAACATACTAGGTTCAGGTCTTCAAGATACTGATCCTGGGGTTCATCTGTTATATAGAAATGGCATGTGGGACTGAGTTAACAGGCTTACCTGAGGCAGTCACCTTTACTGGGAACTGAGCATTCAGAATGAAGAGAACAATACTCTGGACTCTGTAATCTCACTGATATTTTTTTTTACTTTGCTAGAATCTTCCTGATGTTGCTGATAGCATCTAATGTTCTATCAGCAATCACATCTTCTAAGCTATGTCCGGTGTAAGATACAGAGGAGGCATTTCCTGATGATGTAAGCCATTGTTAGTTATCAAATGCTTTTCAGAAAGGACCTTGCTTTGCACAGGGAAAATGAAAAAAACCCTGCAAAACTGTTAGATTTTCAAATTTGGCTAGAAAAAAATAATGATTAAGAAACTTTCTCTATTGAGATTGAAAGAACACATCTGGAGGCAAAAGAAATTAATCAAAAGCTTTGTTCCTTTTTGCTATGCAATATCGGATCATTTTGCAATAGAAGATCTATGCCCACAGGGTCCAAATCAGGACGACTTATGGTATTTATTTTATTTTTTTTTTTTGTGTTCCAAGCTCGTGTTGCCGATGTCCCTGGAATTCATACTGGAAGCACTGCTTAAAAAAAAACAAAAAACAAAAACAAAAAAACAACGAAACAAATAAATATATAAGGCGAAATCCTGCCATGTGACCTTCTCTACTGGCGCATCCATCTTCCTGCGCTTCCTTAGGGGATGCTGCAGACGGCTTTGCCGGCGGTTTCCCCTTCGGAAGGGCTGTCCTCCGAGCAGTGAGGGTGGGGGGAAGGCGGGGGTGTCCCCCGTATCCCCCGGGCATCCCCTTCGGGTAATTTCCAAGAGCGGATCGGCGCTCCGCGCTGCCTCCTGCCCCGCCCGGCGCCGCGGGCCGGGCCGAGCCGAGCCGAGCCGAGCCGAGCCGGGCCGAGCCGAGCCGAGCCGAGCCGGGCCGGGCCGAGCCGAGCCGGGCCGAGCCGAGCCGGGCATGGCGCCGCTGGTGCTGTACCACTGGACGCAGTCCTTCTCCTCGCAGAAGGTGAGGGGTGGGCGGGGGCGTGGGGCCCCGGATCGCAGTGCCCACAGCCCCTGCACACCCGCGGCGGCATCGGGGCGGGAGGGATGGAGGATGGAGGATGAAGGAAGGAGGGATGGAGGGATGGAGGAAGCAGGGATGGAGGAAGCAGGGATGGAGGGATGAAGGATGGAGGGGAGCGGCCGTGGGTGAGCCGAGGCGGGGCGGGCAGAGCAGGCAGGCGGGGATGCTGCCCGGGTGACCCCGGCGGTGCCGTTCCAGGTGCGGCTGGCAATAGCCGAGAAGGCGCTGAAGTGCGAGGAGCACGATGTGAACCTGCCGCTGAGCGAGCACAACGAGCCGTGGTTCATGCGCCTGAGCTCCTCTGGAGAGGTACCCGTCCTGATCCATGGTGAAAACATCATTTGTGAGGCAACGCAGATTATTGACTACCTTGAGGCGACGTTTGTAGATGGTAATCCCACAGGCATTTCAGAATGTGGTTCTTCCCCTCATCCTGTAGCCACAGCAGTGCTTGGGGGCAGCTCTGTGTTGCGGCAGGACTCTTCGTTCAGGGCAGAAAATATTTCTAGTCTTACAAGTAAGCATGCTCTCCTAATAGTTAGCAGTTTGGGTTGAAAACCTATCCGTCTAAAATGAACTGAAGGCTTTCTGGCACCTTTGAGTGAGTAAACCTTTGTAAGTAAAACCTACCACCATCCTCCTTAGCCCTTCAGGAAGGATGGAGAGGCCAGAAATGGCAGCAGCACTGTGCTTCACTAACCCTGGCGTGACACTGCCGTGAAAAATAACATGCTGAACACTGCTGCATGACTGCCTTTGTAGAACAGGTCCAGGTTGTCTGTGAAATAAGAAGCATGCTTATTTTCAGAATAATTTTCTTTACAACAATGGAAGTAGAATGAGCAAATTATTTTTGGAGCCAAAATGGAAGGAAGAGGTAAATTAGCAGGAAGAGAAGCCTTAGAAGTGATCACGTGCATGGTTTTAAAGTTCTTTGTGCCTGTATTGTTAAAAACAAACAAACAAAAAATAAAAAAAAAGCCTGCCTCAATTTGTGAAGGAAATGCAGAGCTGTATTTTGTATAGGTGCGAAGATGACAGCATTTTGTATTTCAGAGATTTAGTGATGTGATTTCTGAGGCATGAAGAAAACTTCACTGTTGAATTAACATAATTTGTGCTGTCTTCTAATCAGAAAAGGAGTTGGGTAGGTAGGTAGATCAAGGGCAGGGTAAAACTCATTGATGTGCAGGAATACTTCCAATGATGCATAGGATTCCTGTACTGTAATGTGTATATCATTTCAGGAGCAGTAATGTTTCAGCCATAATCATTCCCTGGAATCTCAGCTGGGCCCAACTGTGAGAGCATTATATAGTTTATATAGTCATATAGTTTTATAGGCTATATAGTCATAGTCATCCATTCCTAGATGCATGTTAACAGAGCTGAGTGTGGTTTTCTGATTTGAAAGCCTCTTAAATATGTTTTTTTGTGTTGCTGCATAGGAATTATAAAATATCTTAAAATTAACTAAAAATATGCATTTCTCTGAGCTGCAATCATACCTTTGAGTTATGCTGGGGAACAAGGGAAGCTTTCTTGCCTGTGGCTGTGTCACCTGTCCCAGATGGATGTAGCTGAATGAACTTTGGTCAATTAGATGATTCTTCTTTTCTTAGATTTATTTTTAACTTTGTTTTGCAGAGGAAGTACCAAGATTAATGCCAGAAGAAGGGAGCATGTATTATCCAAGGGTGCAACACTACAGAGAGCTTTTAGATTCCTTGCCTATGGATGCCTACACACATGGCTGCATCCTGCACCCTGAGTTAACAGTGGACTCCATGATTCCAGCCTATGCTACCAGCAGAATCCGTAGTATGTACTGGTGTAGCTCTGAATGTCTATAACTTAGTAGGTTGCTGCATTACATTCATCTTCTTTCTTAAGTCCACCTTAAACACAAAATGCTGAGCACAGTTTATGAATTTTAGTTGCAGTCCTTGATGATTTGTGTATATACTTTTTATTGATTATATATTCTGTTGTGATTTGAAAATGGGAAGGAGGAAGTGTTGTTTTTGAGGTGTCTTTGGAGTTAATTTTTGTACCATGGCAACATTTTAATTGATGCCTTTATGTTTCCTTCTATGTGTTGCAAAAGAACTAAGTAGTGGTAGGACAAGTATCAACTCCTGACAGCACAGCTGGATGATGATTCCCTATTTACAGTTACATTCTGAGATCTCTGATTTTTTTGTCAATGTCAGTGGTTTATATAGTGTTGAATTTTTTTTGTATGATGTTTTAGAGTGCTCTGTAGAATGAAGTCAAATACTACAGAATCTTTGAAATGTAATACAACTATACTATTAGCAAGTCTATGATATCATAAAAGGTGATATTGAGAAATCAAATTTTCAACAAAATGTCTTATTCTCTGTAGAATTTTTGGTAAGTGAGTGCTCTTACTAGTCACACTCGTATGTTGTCAGAAGTGAAGACAGACAGTTAATTTTCCATATAATTGCATGACTGATGTTACTGAAGTAACAGAGAATCATTGGATCATAAAATCATAGACCATAGGATGGCCTAGGTTGGAAGGGACCTTAAAGATCATCTAGTTTCAATGTCCCTGCCTACAGCAGGGACACCTTCCACTAGACCAGGCTGTTCCAAGCCCCATCCAGCCTTGGACACTTCCAGGGATAGGGAGTCCACAGCTTCTCTGGGAAATCTGTTCCAGTGCCTCACTGCCCTCACAGGAAAGAATTTCTTCTTCATAGGTAATCTAAATCTACATCCTTCAATTTAAAGCCACTCCCCTTTGTCCAAGAACACAAATTACTCTGTTTCATTAGTGCATTGTCTAGGTTGGTGGTTTTGTTGTTTTTAGTTTTCCCAAATGTGGATGCTAACTGTTTATTGAACAATTGTGCTTTACTCATAGGCATTATGGATAGTTTTTCTGTTTTCACATGGTAGTAATCAGTGCTTTTATTGCAGTTCAATTTACAACATTGTCTCCTGCTTTTCTTGCTGTATGCATTCTTCTGTTCTAGCTTCTAGTTGGTAAAAATTGTTCTCAGTTTGCACATGTTCATACTGGTAAAGCTAACATTATTGCTTATCTAAACTGGGATGTTTTCTTATCTTTTTAGGCTTAAAGCATAGCCTACGTTTTTTTATTTGAAGCTTTGAAAAGCCTGTGGATGTTCCTTAACAATTCTTTTGCATGTTCAAACTTCTCCTGGATGGTTTTGTTTTCAGGTTGAAACACTTTTTTTTTTCAGCCTGCTAGATATAATAAGGCATGACCCAGTTGTGTATTATATTTATGCATACCAAATCTAAGTAAGTAATTAATTGCATATATAAGATTTTTGTTATATGAGTACATCCTTCAATTTCTTCATATTAAAGGATGACTTCTACAGTCATGTTGAAATGGATATGTAAAAAAGTGAGTTTGGTTTTCTCTAGAAAGAATTTTTATCAGTTTAATTTACCAGACTTAATTGTAACTAAACTTTATTATCAAGTACAAGTGAGAGATGATTCATGCTCTATAATTATTATTCTGTTCTCAGTTTATGATTATAAATATTTATTTTTAGAAGATTTATAAATCACTGTCTTTTGGTATTCTAGGTTTATAAGTATGGCATTTTCAAGCAAAGCCCCATTTTAAGGAAAAGGCTATACACATGTAGTAGAAATCAGTAAAATAAACTTTTCACATAATTCCTTCTTTAAATCATATAATGAATGTTTTTCTAGGACATGCACACAGATCTTAAAGAAAATTTCTAAAAGAATCACAGATTTTAGCATCCCATTTTAGCTAAATTAAAGCACCTTGGCTCCATATTCAGTGGCATTTAGGCTTTTGCTGTAAAGTGATGCTTATGACGTACAGTGACAAAAAAATCCCAGTGTGGGCCTACCAGCACTTTCACATTGAAAGCTGATGAGCTGAAGGTGTGATGGGTCAATTTAAAAAGCATTTAAATTTTCCAAAATGCAAAAATGTATTTAAATCCTAACCTGGTGCAGATGCTGTATTGTAGCAGCACTTCCAATTTCTTTGGTATGATATTTGTGTACAAAGGTGATTGATCAGTTTCTGTGGATTGCATTATGAGTATGTTTGAATATCTAATATTTGTCATTCCTTTTAATTTTTTAAAATTTTTATTTTTTTTAATCAGGCCAAATAAGTAACACAGAATCAGAACTGAAGAAACTTGCAGAAGAAAATCCAGACCTTCAAGATGCCTATATAGCAAAACAGAAGCGCCTTAAGGTAAGAAACCCCTTTATATGGGCCCCTTTATTATGAGCTTGTTAGTGTTATATTTTTTTGGTCACAATATAAACATTTATTTCACCTGTCATTACCAGTGATTTAACCCTTCAAGGTATGAAACAGTCCATCTTCAGATCAGCTACACACTTGAAGTGTGTGCTGAAGTACTGGGCAGGTCCCACTGACTTCGAAGGTAACTGCACATCAGTGTGGATGTTGGACTGTTGAGCATCCTGCAGGGGTAGGAAGACCTTAATGTCTGGCATCTCTAAAGTTTTCTTGTGTTTTCTGAATTGTCACGAGTATCCCTGTAGTATCCAGCTGACTATGAGGAGAAAATAATCACATTTTATGAATAAACACTGTAGTATCGTAACTATAAGCTTCTCTGATAAAAGTATAAACTCTGTATGATGATTAAAACACTGAACTGTATGTCTATTTAGTCTAAACTGCTGGATCATGATAATATAAAATACCTAAAGAAAATACTTGATGAACTGGAAAAAGTTTTGGATCAGGTTGAGACTGAATTACAGCGGCGAAATGAGGAAACACCAGGTAAGGATTTTTTCTTGCTAAATCCTGTTAATATTTCTTTTTGAAGATATTGAGTAAACTGGTTGAGAGCACCATTATAAAACAATTTTTAATGTGTCAGATTTAATACTTTTAGTATATGTTGATCTATACATCACAGAAGGGATCAATACTGTTTTAAATACTAACTTACTTTTACTGTTCCAGTCAGTGAGTTCTCGGTGTCTCATGAAAGTGCTTGATCAAATTTTCAGCAAAATGAGTATAATTAGCTGCACAATGTTGTAGTATTTTTATCAATAAAATCAGAAAAAAATAACTACAGAATGCTGATGTTATAGGTGTAGGCTTCAGTTCACTATAATGATCACAACCTTAATGTTTAACACAGGTTTATTTTAATCTTGTGCAGATACTGTGTTGATATTTGTGGTATATGCAGAATAAGCAATCTGAAAATTTGCTCTAATCATTAGGCAACCCCCTTCCCTCATCCTCTTGGAAAGCAGTCTGATTTACCTGCCTCCACCCCAATGAAAGTCACATTTTTTACAGAATCACAGAATCATTAATGTTGAAAGAGACTTTCAAGATGATCTAGTCTGACTGTCAATCCAGCACTGTCATAACCACGCCTAAACTATGTCCTGCTGTCTGCTGCCCTGGGCAACTTTTTCCACTGCCTGACCACTCCTTCAGTGAAAAACATTTCTAATATCTAATCTGAACCTCGTCTGGCACAATTTAACGCCATTTCCTCTCATGCTGTTAGAAAGGGCCCAAATACTGAGCCCTGGGGAACTCCAGTAGTAACCAGCCAGCAGCTAGCTGGATGTAGCTCCATTTATCAGCACTCCCTGGGCCTGGACATGCAGCCAGTTTTTCACTCCGTGAAGAATGTATTCACCCAAGCCAGTTTACCCAGGAGAATGCTCTGGGAGACAGGTCAAAAGCTTTACAGATATCTAGATAATATCCACAGCTTTTCCCTCATCCAGTAAATGGGTCACTGGTCATGGACAGAGGTCAGGTTGGCCAAACAAGACCTGCCTTTGTAAACTCATCCTGGCTGGGCCTGTTGCCCTGGTTGTCCTGCACATGCCATTTAGTGACACTCAGGACGATCTGGTCCATGGTGTTTCCCACTACCAAGGTCAGGATAACAGGTCTGTAGTTTCCTGGATCCTCCTTCTGACCCTTCTTGTAGATGGGTATTACATTTGCTAATTTCCAGGCAACAGAGACTTCTGTGGTTAACCAGGACTGCTGGTAAATGATTGAAATAACTGGCAAATTTTTGGCAGCTCCCTTCTTACTCTTGGGCACATCCCATCTTGACTCATAGACTTGTGGGTGTCTAACTGGTATGACAGGTCACTAATCATTTTCTTCTGGGCTGCAGAGGCTTCTCTCAGCTCCCCATCACCAACTCCCAGCTCCAGGAGCTGGATATCCTGAGCGCCACGGGTTTTGGTGTTAAAGACTGAGGCAAAGAAGGCATTAAGTACTTCAGGCTTTTTCTCATCCCCCACTGTTTCCCCCTTCATCCAGCAAAGGATTGAGACTCCTTAGCCCTCCTTTTGATGCCAATGTATTTACTGAAACTGTTTTTGTTTTCTTTAACTGCAGTGCCCAAATTAAGTTCCAGTTTGGCTTTCTTTCTAATTTTCTCCTGGATAACCTCATGACATCCTTGTAGTTACCCCCTCTCCTTCCAGAGGCGAGACACAGTCCTTTTTACCCTGAGTTCCAGCCTAAATTCCCTGTTTAACCAGGCTGGTATTTTTCCCTGACAGCATATGGGGACAACCTGTTCCTGTACATTTGAGAATTCCTCGTTAAATCTTGCCCATCCTTCCTGTACTATTTTGCCTATCAGGACTGACGCCCAGGGAACTCTGTCAGTCAATCTCCTAAGCAGTCCAAAGTCTGCCTGGCAGAGGCTCAAGGTGGCAGTTCTGCTGGTGCCTCTCCTTACTTCACCTTGAACTGAAAATGCCACCCTTTCATGGTTGCTGTGCCCAACTTGGCCACTGACTCCACATCACCCATGAGTCCTTCTCCAGTTGAGAGTAAGTTTTCTTCCACACACTCCAGGAATCTCCTAGACTGCCTCCTCTCCACTGTGTTGTGTTTTCAGCAGGCATCTGTCAAGCTGAAGTCCCCCACAAATACAAGGGCTGGAAATTGAGAAACTTCTGCCAGCCCTTATATCCTACAAGGATATCTGCAGTGCTGACCTTCCCCCTGATCTATAGCCACAGGCACTTAACCATGTCAGCATCCTAAATTCTGTTTAAATGGGATAAGCCTTCTGCTTATTCACAGCATGGTTCAGCTTCCAGTGGTGCTGATAGGAGTCCTTCCCCTGACTTCACTGGGAACTGTGTGAAGCATCAGTCAATATCAACTGCATCTGCTCAAATCAATAACTTTTTGCATTTAGCACTATAAATAGCTGTTGTAATAATTTCTGGTTACTATCACAATTGTTTGATGTTACTACCACAAAAGTTTGAACCAACAGTTGAAAATCTAGATTAAATTTCTACTGACTCAGCAGTGAAAGAGGCACAGGAAATATTTTAACTCATAAAGGATGGAAGAATTTTGTTCAGCAAACTACATCTGCCACCATTTCCAGCAGCCCCTTTCCTTTCTCTGCTAAGTAGCCTGTCCAAGTAATCAACTGATACAGTATTGATGAGCTTATGAAAACTGCTGGGATCACAGGATTTTGTAAAACATGGGGCTATCGCCTCTTGGATTTTTTACTGCGGTATTCCCACATTCCCCCATATATTGGAGGTTTGTGATCTGTACTTCTCCAGGTCCTGGTCAAACTCAGAACTCCTGCTTCCTCTTGCAACTGCTTGAATCCCTGATCTACTACTGCTGCCACTGCAGGCATCTTTCTTTCACACAGGATAGATTATTTGGTCTTTTCCATCATCTTATTTAATGCACTGAATGAATTCCCAGGTATTCTTTCAGCGACCTAGGATACAGAGACCTTTCTTCCAGACCTGAGAAACCAGTCGAAATGGACTGGTACCAGCTTTGTGCCAAGCTGTTGCTTTTCTCTGGTGGAAAATTTGTTGGAAAGGAGATAGCAAAATTTCTCTGTTTCCAGAGGGGTGCTGCTGAGTGCTCGTGCCAGCATTTTGCATGCCTTCTGGGAAACAGAGTAGTCCTCCCTATTTGAGATCTAGGCTAGAACAGAGCACTTATGCTGGCAGCTGTGATAGCTGTGCTGGCTATCAAGTTTCATATCCTGGTTTTCAAAAGCTCTTGGTGTAGTCAGTACATGTCAGCCCTTTCAGGTGGTGGTGGTTCAGATCACTGACAGCGATGTGTGACGCTGCAGGGCAGTGCCTGCTCTGAGCCACCCCAGGAGCGTTTACCTCTTTCCTTTGACTGCAGAGGGTACCTGGGGTCTCCATCTGTGCTCCTGACTAGTGGTGAGCAGTGTGAATATGTCACTTCTCAAACATCTCAGTGTAAAACCCCCATGATTTGGGGTCTAAGACACACAAAAGAGGGACAGATAGACAAATTCTGTCATCTCACTGGGCTGATATGTTTGGTGCAAGTCAGTCATCTGATTAATTTCTTTTTGACTTGAAAGCCTCCAACTAGTCAGCTGGAGTTAGTTCTTGAGTGAATGCCACAGAGCTGAGTGACACAGGCAAGATGATAAATTCTTCAGACAAGTGGTAGCTTTTCAGTAAAAGCTAAACTGCCTTCCTCCTTTCCAATCCTGTTTTAATTTAATCCAGATTTGAGAAATGTAACTGAGGAAAGTAAGTGTTTACTGTGGGTTTTAATTTATGAACCTGGAATGTGGATCTTTTTTCCTTCAAAAATGTAGGCCAGCTGCTGAGCCTAAGACTTTACAATATTGTGCAAAGAGTGGACAGGGATTAGTGAAATGTTCATTGATTCAAGTAATATTTCAGCTGAAGTGTTGTTGCTCTTTATTAGATGGTACTTTGAAGTAGCACTAAATTAAATGTGCTTATATTCCATTAGTTCCTAATGCTTTATGTTTTATCTCTGCTTAGAAGATGGAAATCAGCCTTGGCTCTGTGGTGATTTCTTCAGTCTGGCAGATGTGTCACTTGCTGTCACATTACATCGCCTGAAGTTTCTGGGATTAGCAAGAAGAAACTGGGGAAATGGAAAGCGGCCCAACTTGGAAGCTTATTATGAGCGTGTCGTGAAGAGAAAAGCATTTCACAAAGTTTTGGGACACGTCAACAATATATTAATCTCGGCTGTCCTGCCAACAGCATTCCGTGTGGCCAAGAAAAGGGCTCCCAGGGTTCTTGGCAGCACCCTGCTGGTCGGCATGCTGGCAGGGGTGGGTTATCTTGCTTTCCTCTGTCTTCGGAAGAGATTTGCCAGCATGGTGCTATCGATTAGAACCAGGCAAAATTATTTTTAGACCTTGTCTGTCCCTGGTGGTGAGTGGAGGGCATCTTTACACCCCAGGAAAATATGTTCAATAAAATATAAATGTAGAAGAACGGTTATGTCTGTGATTTAGAACATTGTCACAGAGTAATCATCTCCTGCTGCTGTATAATTGGGCTGGCAATCCTGAGATATTTTTAAAAAATATGTGTTGGGGGAATGACAAAGGAAAGAAGAGACTTTTCAGCCAAGGGCCTATAACTGTGAGAGTGCTTCGTTAAAGTGATTATTGTCTCCTTTACCCGATAGCTGACCTAATTAAAATGCTTTTATTTAATAGCTATGCAGCAATGTGACAGCTTTTCACTGTAGATGAAATGCATTATTGGGCAGAAACCAGCATTGTTAAAATACTGAAAATAGCTCTTACTTTAAATGCTCAGAGTAAGATTTAATTGGAACATTGTGCCTGTTGTGTACAGGAGAAGTTTCTCCGTACTGATTATTTTCTGTTGGCTTGCAGTTGGACCTTTAAGAATGTGTTGAAAAGTAATCCTTTGAAGCCACTTTTGTCAGTATATGTTCATGCAGCAGTACAGGAAAAGACCTGAAACAGGTAAGAACATCAGTCATTTGTGTTCCACACAAGTGAAGTTCTCCAGAAGAATCACTGGACAACAGATACTAGGATTTTGCTGAAATACAAATGGGAGCTAAACACCTGACACTTCTCTTTTGACAGCCTTTTGTGCCCAGCCACAAACTGGCAGAATAAAATCAAACTATCTTGGTGCACATTTGCTGCTTTCTTTGGGGTGGCTTGATACAGTTCCCTCCATATGAATGTCCTGTGTACCCTTTTGTGTTTCACTCTGAGCACTGGCTATTTTTTGCACACTTCTTGGCAACATTAGCAATTGCACGTGTCTCTACAAAATGCTTGCCCACAATGTGCCACAGCCAACTAGAAAACACAATGCCTTTTTGTATAAGTAATTAAAAATAGTTCACTATCTATCAGTCTGGTTAGGTAGCCTAGACTGAAGGTAAGTCACGCTGTAATTTAGCAATCTGTTTACTTATGGATAGGGGTTGTGTTGATGTAAGTGAAAAATACAGTAAGTTTGGAGACGATTTGTACTGATGATCTTTTGTAAAACTGCACTCTTGTAGCATGGAGGAAAGGTGTATAAAATATTTTGATTACTTCCTACTACTCAACAGATGCTGTGAGTTTTATTAGTTTTGAACTGAGCTCCCATTTCAACAACAAATGTACATTTACCTGAAGATAGAATTTGAATAATTTTTCAGCAAAGAAAAGCATTTGGAAAGGGCTGAAAATTCTCATGACAGTTTAGTAAGACTTTTGTATGCTTGATGAATGTTTGAAAGCCTCAGAATTTTCTTTACAAGTTGTACATAGCTGCCAAGAATAAGGCATAGCTTTAAGTGTTTGCCTGTCAACAATCAGTGCTAACAGGCCCAAGTACGTTTTAGGTCCAGGGCTGGTGGCTGTTGTCTCTCTGTACAATTGCATTTAGGTGTCAAGAAGATCATCTCAAGTTTGTTGGAGAGAACTGAGGCAGTTTCTGTCTGGGCAGTCTCACCATCTAACACATATTAATATGGATAAAATTATTGGATACTCCTGCTTATTATTTAATATTGTGCTGGTTGTCTAGCAAAAGTAGACCAAATCTCATTACCCCTTTTCAGTAATAAGAAATATCTTACCTAGGAAAAAAAGCACTTTTTTATTTGTCTAAAAGACAGTTTTATATAATTCTGTTTATGATCCAGTGGTTTTAAGGAACTTGTTGAATTAAATGTGCTCTATTTAGAAAAGCTTTATTATCTCTAGAGTGGGTTTAATCCAACAATACTATTAATATACTGGCAGCTTTAACTGAGTTTGTTGTTAGTGTGTTGCAGTTCATCTGCATTTACTTGTAGCTATCAAATTCCACTAAGTTAATAAACACAAAGTAAGACCTGTAACTTAATGCTTCCTTGGCACATATTTCTGTCAGACCACCTGTAAAATGTAATTTGACCAAGCCAGAGTAAAATTAAATATATATGGCTTAGCCTTTTTTAGAATGAAGTGACCACCAGATGTCAGTGGTTCTCCAGGACTCTGCTCTGGCGTGCCTCTAAGGCAGGAAAACACTACTTTTCACAGAGAAAAAGTTTGTGATCTCAGCACAAGAGGGTTGTGAGCACTCTCGTCACATTAACAGTCTCTCCAGAGCTCTGGAAACAGCTGCATGGTTCTACCACAGGTTTGTTCTCTGACACCTGCCACTTATGCTTGTGTAGTTTTTATACTGGGTAAACGAGAAGCCAAAGTTGAAATAATATTTCACATGAAAATGAATGTTACTGAACAGCAATTAAACTGCAATTAAACATGCCATCTGCAAGAATGAGCATGGATAAAACTTCTACTGCGGAAAAGTTTGGATCCCTGCTTTGATTCACGTCCGTTAGTTCAACTATTTGGTATCCTTATTTTCACTGCCCTGATGTACTCTGTACATTGATTTCTGTACAGGTGGCAGCAAAAGGCTTATCCATGATTAAATTCCTCAAAATTGGATGAGATTTAGAAGCACATATGCTGCATTTGGCTCTTTGTGCCGGATAGCTTTTGTGCCTGTAAAGTTTCTTTTCAGCCTGGCTTATTTTCTTTCTGGTAGCTCTGTATACTATTCGAATTGGGTACAGAAGCAATCTTCTAGTTTTCATTTACTATTTGCTCTCATATCATGAATCAGATATAATTCATATCTTCATGTGGGACCTGCACAATAAACATCTATTCAAAGAGCACTTCATAGTCTGGTTTATGTCTTCTGTGTCAGTAAAACAAAGCACATTTGAGGATTACACTGTGTTGCTGTAAGGACTCTGATGCTATTCAAGGAGAGAAGCCCTTGAACACCTTTTAAACCAGTTTAAAGGTTGCCTTGCATGTATATGGAAACAGCAGTAAAAATTATGTTTTCTTTGGTTTTCTGTCTGAGCTGTATATGTATGATGTCCAAGGAAAGTGATTTGATAAAGTAAAAAAAAAAAAAAAAGTAAAAAATTAAGGAGGGCAAGGAGGTTTCGTACTTTCAATTAATCCATAAAAACAAACAAACAAAAAAACAAACAAAGTCCAATCCCACTTTGCTTCTGAGTGCATTGTTGAGCTGCAGCTGGGGCTCCTTTCTGTAAGGTGCATGACAAGCACATAATCTGTGTCCACACTGACATTGTCCTTGGTGAGACTAAATGGTGTGCCCCATTAAATGTGTGTTAGTCTGGCCATAAATGAAGTGCCCCCCTTTTTTTTCTTGCACTGTTGGAGTCTGTATTGGGCCTCCTTCCCTGTTAAGCAGAGGAATAAATAACAGTACCTGAGGCTTGCGTGCATTGTCTCTCAGGATCTTGAAAGTCAGGGAAGCTGCTAGGATCAGGTAGACAGCTGGCAGGGTTTGAGTTTCAGGAGATTATGACACCTGTAGTCTGTGCACCAACTTTAAAGTAGCCTTGATGCTTTAGCGTTAATCAGAAGTGTGCACAGAGCTCTTGCAGTGGAAAGCTTATGTCTAAACAAAAAAGAAGCAAAAGAGAATACAAAGATAAGTACAGCAAATATAAATTCCTTGTCCAGGTTCATAAAGCCATACATCTACTTTTGCATGTCACATTTTTAAAGGCATCTTTTACTTAAGTCTGAATTTTATAGGGGCAAGGAGCTACTAAGATTTAGAGAGCAGATTGGCATGCCCTAATGCATGAGGATTACAGAGAGCAGCAGATGGGAAGTAGGTGAAAAGTAGAGGGTCTAGCTAGCTGGAGCACACCGCTCTGCACTATGGTGTATGACATTTCTGTTTGCTGAGGCCTCCTTGTTATCTCTCTGTTTAGCCAATGTTAGACAAAGAGGTGTAAGGTTTGGCTTAGGCAATTTATAAGATGTACTGAGGAAGTCAAAAGCATGTAGAAAAATCCCAAAGAAAATATGCTGGGTTTTGTTCCCTCTTTATAAAGAAATTTTTAGTTTTGGTGCAGTACCAAGTCATAAAGTCAGGCCCTCAAAACTCAGGAAATTCCAGAAGCCAGAGTTCTTACAATACTGTTAACTCACTCATGCAATACTTCAATAGCCTTTTTATTTCTGTTTTTCTTTCTAAGTTACAATCATGCTCAATTAAATGTGAAGTTAAAAATGTAACACCATAAAATAGGCAGTGGATAACCTTAGTGTTGTGGGAAGAATCTGTTGGAATTTGCAGAGCTGAAGGCCTGAATATTTCTGTGCTTTACATCAGCATTAGTATTTACTACAGTTTTAAGTACTCATCTCATGAATAATTTTACAAAAGTGTGTTGTATAAACTAACACGTAATTGCATAAATCAGTATAAAGTAAAAAGTAAACCTTATATATACTAATATATATTGATATTCTTTGTACATATACACAATAGCATCCCTATTTTTCCCTTTCATATTTAATTTGCTAAAAATGGCTAATTGACAATTATGTATTTTACTGTATTACTTGTCTTCATAAAATAAATTTGCATTTATAAATGTAAAAATTATGAAAATTTCATATAATTATAGAATCATACAAAGTTTTGGGTTGGAAGAGACTTAAAAGAGCATCTAGTTCCAACTCCCCTGCCATGGGGAGATGTGTTCTGTCACTGTCAGACACGAAATGATTCACACAGACACAGTTTGAAGTGTGATGAAAGAAGAAGAAAGTTTATTCTGTCTTTTCAGTATTTATAGATTTTCGACAACGACCAGGGATTGGATAGTTAGGTTGCCACCTTCCCAACCACATTGGCTGTGAGACATGTCTATCAAATGTATATGGAATGTATAAACATTTATGTTTATAGTTACTTTCCTGGGAAAGCGGCTAGAAATTATGAAAACAATAGCAAAAGGCCTGATTCTCAGGGTGACAGTGTTCCCCTTTCCTTATTTACTCTGGTAGCATTATAACAGTATTTGAAAACATTGGTTACCTCGTGACTGTAGGGACTTGAGAATATACACAAACATATTTGGTGCTTCATGTTAGCTGATCATCCGGATCAGAATCTGAATGCTACTGCATTTGGACTGAATAGAAAGCTTTAGCTGCTGAGAAACAGATGCCATCCTGAAAATTGCTCATTTAAGGCTTGTTTCAGAAAGGTTCTAACTTCAAGTGTTCAAGCAGATGATGCCTGTGTTTCTGTAAGCAGCAGAAAACAGAGCATTCATAGGGCCAGATGAGATGTGAGGGGACCACTGGTTCTGTCACCTGCTGGCTGAGGCATTCACCTTACAGAAAGTGGAGTCCTTCTCCCCCACTTTGTATTGAAACAGGTAAAACTCAGCGCTAGAGACAAAAACTCCTCCCTCATAGATTCAGGCCCTATGC